AAAAAAAAAAAAAAAAAAATCCACAAAAGATGATTTGAAAGAACAAAGGAACAGTTTTGATCCAAGAAGTATAAGGCTTCTTGGCAACTGGCTGGCTACAATTTCTACTGGGGAAGAAAAATAGACAAGGCTTAGACTTCACACCAAACCAAGGTGTTTACTGAAAACATTCTCCAGTAGAGAAAGCAAGCCTATACATAGCTTATTAGCAATGCTAAGGCCTGAGTGCCAGCAAATAGGCTTCCTCCTATATAGGAGCCAAAAGTGTAAAACTCTGTCGCCTTATTAAGGCGGTCCAAAAGAAAGTCTACCAGCACAGTTCATTTTAAGCCTACCTGGATTGTGCTTTATGACATTTCTCAGGGCCTCCAGAGCCATTTCAACCCTTCGTAGGCGATCTCCATGCTGATGGGACTCTACTTTCCCAGTCTGCGTTATTGCCATTAAGGTGTGGAGATACTGAGCTTGCGAGCCAATATAATCCAAGAGGCTTGCTGCAAACGCTTTAGGAAGCTTCACATTAAAAACCAGAGAGAAGAGCATTGTTAGCTGTGTGATGAAGCAGTATTCATATTACAGGACAGTACAGTTGACTAACTCCTTTTAACATACCAGCTTCTTCCACACAAAGAATTTTCCAGTATAACAACTGCACATCTGGACTATTTTAACATGTTATGTCCAAATAAACCCTTAGAAAGTTACCTCTATTTCAACAGCACTCAAGCTATGTATATCTGTATATGCAGACAAACAATGATATTGGGTAGAATCAATAACATCTGAAATTACTGCATCAACCTCAGCATCTGCCTTACAAGGACACAGAGAAAAGGCACTGAAGCATTTGAAGCAGCAGTCTTACCCTGATAAATTCAGTGTTCTTTTTATTGTATCTTGCTCCAACAGAGAAGTATCTCGGAACATTCTACTCGGACTGAAGCATTTTACCCGCTCTAAGCCTTATGGAAAAGATCTACGTGCACTGACAGACTGGTAGGAAACAACATCAAGTACTAGTTTAACTAGTTTAACTAGTTTAACAGTTTTTAGCTAAATCTCACCTCTAGTTGGAAGGTAGGGACCTCATTGTAGACTCTAACAAAGATCTCTCCCACAATAAGTTCTTTTGCATGGTCGCCAAAGACAAAGTCAGATCCATAGCTTTTGTCACAGTCTCCCTTTAACAAAACAGATGAGTAGCACAAGCTCAGATGCACAGAAAACTTGTAGAAAATATAAAGCAATAATTTGAATAATACAATATAGCAATACTTGGAAAAAATGAGACTTTGGCATATAGAAAAACGCAAGACAACTTGAAACACTAGAAATCACTATTAAGATATTTATTAAATAATGTATTAATCACTTATTTTTAAATATTTAAAACTAACTTTAAGTTAAGAGCATCTTACTCTCTTCATCATGCTTTCTTGCTGAGATTCCAAGAATTCAAGTAGTTCAGCTCTCGTCCTATTGTTCCAAATCAAGTAGGGATTCTCTGTGTTACTGTTAAGCATCTTCAAAATCTAAGGAGTAAGGAAATTTGTAATTTAGCAAGTTTACAAACTCAGGTTTAGGATCACTATGCAGAGTAACAAGTTTTTCATGATACAAGTTTGATATAGCTTGACTCAGATAGACTGATTGCATAAACAGGTTTAAAATGTAAAGCTCTCTGTAGTCCAGAAAAACAGTATGTGGAAGTTATTTGGTACAGGAAAAAAATTCTTTATATTTTCTTCCAGCTTCACTGTGCTTCTCAGACTCCTCTACTTTTGACAGCAAGCATCTACAGAGTCTCATTTTACAATTTCCTTGGCAGCACCCTGAAGAGAGTTGAACCTGTGACTGCTACCATCACTGTAGCCTTCAATCTGCACAATTTAACTCAAGTTTTGTCCCATATGAGTTTTGGGAACATTATTCTATAAGCTACTGTTCACACCGAGTCTGACTGTTTAAGGAACATTTCCCTTGCGATCAGTAACTGCAGCTGCAGTTGCATTGCTGTCTCTGAAGCCATGTTTCCCTGGAGAGCTCTATTAGAAGCACAGTTACTTCTGTGAATTACTGAACAATTTTAGCCAACTGAAGTTTACCTCAGTAGGACTGATCACAGCAAGCTTCCTTGCAATATAGGGTGTCAACATTCCAGCCAAGCTTTTCCTGATAGCTGGATTTTCGGGGGTAGCCTGTTCTTCAGAGAGGTACCCTCCAAGACGACTCAAGGCTCGGAGACTGAGTTTAGCAAGGCTATTTGCTACCTCCTGAAAAATACAAGACATGAGCAAGCTGGAGCTAGCTGATTTCACATCAGAAGAGCTAAAGCATTCTCCAATACTTGCACACCAAAATGAACAGAACAGTTTACCTGCATCCCCACTAATACAGGACCCTCTCATAAGACATTAGGTGCTGCAAATCATTGTGTTGTGGGCTTAAAAGGTTTAGTTAGATATGATCATTCATAAGTAGGAAACCAAGTAACTGAGATAAGCTGAAAGCTACAGAATCAGTTTAGCATAATGCTTGTAATTAACTTGTCCAGTAGCAGAGAAAAATAAGTGTCCTACTTAGAATGGCATCATTTAAGGAGAATGAACATGAAGGTACCTTCACGGTCACAAGGCAAAGAGAGATTTGAAATAAGTTCATTACATTGTTTCTAGACCATCTTTTCAGTTGCATTTCAAGAGATTTTTCTTTTTTTTCCTACCATAGGAAGAAATGTAATTTTTAAAACTCCCGAGCAACAGGTTATAATACCTCATTTCACAATTCAGAAGACAAGTTTTTTAGTCTATTTATGACCGCTGTTTTGCAGCAGTGGCATTTGAACAAGACATAAACTACTTAAGTTTCTTTTAGAGATAGTATTTACACTTGCATTATGTCAAACACCACTTCCAAACAGCTTCAAAATGCATGAACAATAGTGTTAATTGTTCTAACAAGCATTAGAACAGTTTTTGTTAATTTGAGATGGCAAGACAGATGGATGTCTGAAAGCATGCACGCTGTTAACATTACCTGATGGTTGGAATCCTCACTTTTCTGAATGCCACTTTCTTCCAGTGTGTAGTCATAATTGAAGAGATACCCCAGGAGGTACCAGAGAACTCCAGCTTGGAACAAGTGCGTCTGCAGCCAGTAGTCTAAGGCAAAGGAGCTAACGCATTCGACTCCCAGGGAAGCTACTCGGGGTATGTTCTGGCAGGGAGCAAGGGGAGAAAGCAGCAATTGATTTTAGTACTTGTGACCAAAGCCAGCCAGCTGTTTGCCTTACCAAGCAGAGATTTAAACCTTGTTGCTAGTTTTGGAACACTGCTTAAGCTATATAGAGGCTGAAGTCAAAGAACTGAGTGAGTGAGAAACATCTACAGTGAAATACTACTCAAAAAAACAACCTCTTTAATAAAAAAAAAAAAAAAAAGGGGGGGGGGGGGGGAACCACCAACACACCACAATATTTACATAACACAAGGTAAGTTCCCAAGAGCTAATGGCAACAAAAATTCTTGAAGGCTGTTCCCAGAGACTAGGTTAATTTATTAGTTTATCTGCTTGCATGAGATCTAGCTCAGGAATTTACATCTGCCGACTCAGTGCATTCAACTGAATTTTGTGTGGCTGCTTGGCTAAGAGGCACAAGTCAGTGAATTTTTATAGTCACTGAATTAAGTCCAATAAATGGATGGAACTACAAGTGTTAAGAACAAGACAATCACAGAATCACAGAATGCCTAATGTTGGAAGGGACCTCTAGAGGTCATCTAGTCCAACCCCCCTGCACACGCAGGGTCACCTAGAGCACATGACACAGGGCAGCATCCA